AAGATACAGAGAAGTAGCAGGGACGCCACACTAGTAGCAGGGAATTTTACACGGCAGCAGGTCTGGGTGTCCTTCATATGGAGATTGCTGATTCAGCATTGGTCGTCTTAGGCTTTAGCCAAGGATTTTTGGGAACACCTTACCCCAGATGCAAGTTATAGCAGCTGAGGTGATGCAGAACTTCCCTTATTATGTACATGTATTGACCTGCCTGGGTCAGATTTGGCATTGCTAATTCTTCACCATAAATCCAATCGCACTGGTGTCACTCCTCATTTTCATGTGAATCACTTCCAGCTCAGTCAGACACTGAGCTGCTTGCAGAAGACTTTAGATCTTCAAAGGAGGGAAAACTAGCTTTAATTTATTTCTCTTTTACTAAGCAGTCCTTAAATCCACTTGCATTCATTACTCAATTTAGACTTTCTCCCTTGTGCAGAGCAACTCAGGGGGTGAACATGAACCCTGTTTGTTCCCCCTCTTTAGGATGTGCATCTGCTGCAAAACTGCTTGCTCCAGTTCCTAAATGGCTACAGCCCCTTTGCTACACCGGAAAATGACCAGAGAGCCTGGTAAGGTCCCAGAACTGGGACAGGTACTACAGGAGTGTGTTCAAGACTTGGGCTATGTGATAGAGACCTTGAGGACAGAAGAAAGAGCAAGAGGACACATTACAAAGTAGCATTCCAAACAAAAGGGGAGGAACAATGGGGAGCACATTGTACTTTCAAGATTAAGATAATTTGTTTGTCTAAATATAGTTTACTTACAAAAATTCCTTTCCAAGAAAAAGGGGCACAGTCAAACACGTAACTTCAATTTTAGACAGATTTTTGGATGGCATGATTCTTTATCTGGCCAGATACTCTCTCATATCAGTGACAGGCCATTAACCTGTAGCCCTGGAAATTCTGCCTTGCAGGGAGTGGAGGCAGAGACCCTTTTGTGCATGGGTGGAGCGGACGGACGGCTGCAGTTAGCAGGACACAAACAATACTTACAGGAAAATGGGAAGTTTATTGGAAGTGCTTTATGTGGCCAGCTGGAATGGTGAGCGGAAGCCTGGGTGGATGTAACACACCATAACAAACATCAAGCTGTTCTCCCTGTGTATCAGCAGGGATCCCATCCCCAGCTGGTTGTCCAGGGTGCTGCTCAGGGAAGATGCTCTTAGGTTTACCAAACCTCTGCCCAAGCCCTAGTAGCCTGTGGGTTCACCAGTCCTGGATACTCTCTGTGGGAGCAGCAGCAGTCCCTATAGCTACTCCTGCTTTTCCATGGAGGGAGGGCTGACCTAACTTGCCTATGGTTAGCACAGCCTGTCTGTGCCTTTGCAGAGGTCAGCCCCACATGGGGCACTGGTGGGCTCCAGCTCTCAGGATTTTGGCAGCTACTTTCTGGCAGAGAGAGATGGGCCAGAAAGGCCCTGATGCATCCCATGCTGGGAAACCAGGAGGAAGCTGGGCATCAGAGCCCAGTGGGAGGCTGCTCCTGGGGCAGAGACAGCTGGGGAGGAGGGAGCCTGGCAGGAACCCACTTTGCCCTCCTATGCATGGGGCTGCAGCCCTCTGCACCCTGCGCCAGTTCCACTTGGGCATCCTTCATGCTTAGGGACAGGATTGGGGTTTGGTGCTTCTGGTTATCAGATAGGGTTTTTAAGTGGAAATATATTCTGTTTTATCCTCAGGTGTTCTTCTGATCTTACTAGCATCTACATCTGTGAAAAAAAAAAATCCTGCACTGAAGGACATTGTGTTGTTAATAGGCTAACGTGGCTTTTTGAGGAAGGCTTTGCATTTATTCCTGAATGAAATCAAACTGCAGAATCATCAATAATATATATGCAAAGCTTATAATCTGTATGTATAAACACGTAAGAACAGATTTCTTTTGATGAAACATTCTCTTACAAAATTTGCTTTATCCTCCTTTTTGAAATGTAACATTTATTTCAATCTTTATGTAAGTAAACAACTGTAATGCATACTGTTATTAATGTAAAATGAAGTTTACCATCAGCTGATGTCTCAACTATCTAAATCAGCAGTGAAGGTTTATTTTCATCCCTGGTTTTATTTGTTACTCTTCTGCTGCTTACTTCTGATTTTTGCCTATTTGTTTATCGTCATACGTGGCTGAATTCTGAAATGAGCATAGTCAGAACCCAATCTGCAGAATTGAATATGTGACTATAGAAGCACATAGGAAGTAATTAAAAACTGGACTGATTTTGAAAATCGTCTGTTCTTTAGCTTCTAATGAAATAACAGATGATTTTGTTAAGAAATTTGCATTTCCTTGAGTTAAAACACAGTACAAAAAGACATCTTACTTCAGACTGCAGTTGTCTCTAAGAGCTTTAACATACCACCAAAACCAGGAGCTGCACAGGCTGCATATCATAGAATCATAGAATGGTTTGGGCTGGAAAGGACCTTAAGATCATCTAGTTCCAAGCCCCTGCTGTGAGCAGGGACGTCTCACATTAGACCATGCCACGAAGGCTCTGTCCATCTTGGCCTTGAACGCTGCCAGGTATGGAGCATTCACCACTTCCTTGGACAACCCATTCCAGTGCCTCACCATATCAGAGATTAATTTTCCTGTTATTCTTATTTTCTAGATAAATTAATCTAAAAAGCATAATAAATGTAACCATTTTTGTTTGATGTTAATTTATGTCATTTTTATATCTAGGTTCTAATGTTGTTAAGAATGATGGGATCTATTCCAAGTACTTGTTTGCTTTCCCTGATAGAAGCAGATAGAGCCTGAATGTTCACATCCAAGCTAACAGAACTATGACTATGGAGTCATGCCATGTCTATACCAGGTTGTGTAGAAAACATGAAGTAATGCAGAGAAAATGATACAGTTATGTATTCCAGCACCTGTATACATCAAGTCCCTCTATAAATACTAGCAGTAGCATTAGAGCAACAACGGCCCAACTAAAAGCTTTTCAAAACCTGGAAAGTCAGTATCCTCCTGAAGAATATTTAAAGTAGACTGTGAACTCTATAATAGAGCAGTATCTATGTAATACAGATAGGCAGGATTTGTGTTTTACTGGTGGAAAGAATAACTGTAGGTCTATTAACTGAAGTACTATAATCAGTCATCTTAAATTAAAAACTGTGGAAGTTTTAGTAAATTAAACTCTCCTGTAATTATTTTATAACAAGTAACAGTTACTTCAATTTAATATTGGCTTTCTTAGTAATCAGCACTCTTGAAAGTCTAAAGAAATAGCTATTGCAGTAGAAATTGTTGTGCTCAATTTAGGTTAATGGATTTTTCAGATTTAAAACCATATAGATGAGGTGTAGTTCAGGTCACCTGCATACTTACTACAAGAGTATGCTTATAGTCAAGATTAATCTGCATTTTTTACTGCTTTAGGTAAAATCAAGATGAACCCATCAGTTATTAAAAATGATATTCATATTAGAAGAGGAGGTTTCCAGAGAACAGCTGCAGGAGGCTCCTTCATAATGTCTGCAGTACTATTGGGATCTAAAGCTCATGTGATTCCATGTAAAACTATTGATTTTGATGCCATAATAAAAGATGATAATGTAATTTTATCATGGACTGCCTCAGGAAATTATTTATACAGAATTCCATCAATAATGAATTAAAGGATGAAAATACAACCAGTGTCAATCAGTAGCACATTCATTCCATTTTTATTTTAATGAAATTATGAATTTAACTAACAATACAGCTATATCATGAGATATTTGTGAACTGACTACTGTGTGATAGCCCAGTTCCAAATATAGTGCTATGCGGGATTAACCAAGCACCTCCTACAGAAATTAGGAACTACCTAGCTGAGAGATGTCAAGAAATGTCTGGTAGGGAGTCATCATCTAATAGACATTTCTCAACGGATAGTGAATCAGGGTTTGGGGTGAAATACTTTAACAAGGAATTGGAGTAAAATATAAAGTCCCTTCTGGACAAGTTTCTTCAAGTATGAAGTGAAGGATGATGAGACATGGGAGAGCCACACAGAGTAATCTGGTTATTCATCTAAAGGCAAACAATGCCATTTAAAATGTGAGATTTTACATCCCAAGTATAGAATTTATCAGCATTTTACTGTCTCACTGATCTAATCTTAGGGTTTTTTTTCTATTGTTTCAATTCTGCATTACATAATTATTACATTGTTCAGATTTTTCCCGAGGAAATTCCAAGTGTGCTTTTGCAATTATTTCTCTTTTACGAAATAAATAGCAGAGCACAGATCACCTGAAGAGGCATAAGAAAATTGAATTGGGTTTTTTTACTTCACAATAAAATATGAACTATTTTCTTGTAAAATTAACACATAACTAAACGCAGCCAACATATCTGATACAACTGTACTTGCATAGAAGACATCAGTCTTCTTGCAAACTGTTGCACCTCTTTTCAACACAAAGGCAGTGTTCAGAGTGAAGAGAAGGTGTGAATCCCTCAGGGAGTGAAAGCTTTGGCTTTATGGGAAGTGGAGTGTTACCACAGTGGGAGCCCCAGGACACTGACATTAATCAAAGTGGGGACCTGCTTGGGAGTGGAGCTTAAGGGAAAGCACCACAGGGGTGGATAGTAAAACTTGGCTGGTTAACACATCATGCATATGAGGTGTGCTGTTTGGCTCATTAGTAAACTCACTGATGTAATGCAGGTCCTGTTGTCTGAATGCTGAGATCTACAGCTGGCTGTCACGCTGATGGCCATGCAATGGGGGAAAGCGGATGACACTGGGTTACTGTGACAACAAGATAAGACACGCTTGGGACTCTGCGTAGTCAGATGGGAAGAACCAAACTACCCCAGCTGCTGTAACAAGAAGATAAGACGTGCCTGGGACTCTGCATACTCGGATGGGGGAGGTGAACTATTCCGGGTTATCATAACATAGTCTTCTTGTGTTACAGGCAGTCATATAAATACGACTGATAAGCCATCGTTTTTCTATCCAAGAATCTCCCAGGCAGGGACAAGTAATGGGGCTGATTCAGAGTCTGATATTTTTGCTATCTCTTCAGCTCTTGCACCTGATAGATTCTGTGGTATGGCTAAATGAGAATGGCTATGAGGATTTGGTTGTTGCAATTAATCCCCAGGTGCCAGAAGATGTCAACATAATCCGAAACACAATGGTAAGAACATTTGAGTTTATATGCTTCGTTCCCTGGCAGTTGTGACTTGACTTTTCTGCTTGGAAAGTAGCATGAATCAGGTCCAGCTCTCACTCTTGTCAATAGTGTTTTTTCTTGTTGTTTTGAATTAATCATGGATCAATCCCATAGTTACTAAAATAGGAATTTCTAATTTGCCTTGCCATATGTTGTCACTACTAAGAGCACTAATGCCCTCAGACAATGCTGTAATACCTCCGTTGGGAGGCAGAGTGAGATTCCTTTAAGCAGCTTTCCAAATTGTGTTTACCTGAATGTCTTACTAATGCTTGTTTAATAGCCATTGATTATACTACCGTTCTTTCATTAGGTAGCATGTCTTACAATGTTCTGTTAAATGAGAAAAAACCCCAAACCAACCAAGAAAAAGAGGTTAGGTTTAGTGGCATTTCTGAGCTTAAGTTTTATTCCAATCCATGTAGCTGCCTCAATGGATAAATTCGCCATGGAATGGTGGCCAGGTCTCAAGGCAAAGGACTTGTTTTCCAGAAAGCGAAACCACTTTAGAGCAAACCTGCTGAACAGGACACTTCTGACAAATGTCCAAGTTCTGCAGTATTTCTAATGCCTACTAGACCTGATGTAGGATTATATCAGTCCCATGTCATCCCTAAGATCAAGTACGACGGATACCATAAAATTTTTAACATTTCCAGATTTCTTTTATCTGTGAGAAGAGTTTTACATGGAGTAAAAGTGGATCTGATTGCTTTTTACCATCAGTTACTGGTTGTCCCCATTTTTAAGAGTAAGTAGAGTTTAGATCGCTCTATTTTCATTAAGGAACAAACCACTGAGTGTGTTTTAGGGTAGAAGTGTATGAGTGATGGTTACTGTTACTGTAAGATACCTGCCACATACTAAATTCACATTAGAGCTGACCTTATGAGACTTGCTTTTACACCATTCTTTCAGTTCCCTTGAGCTACTCAAACTGCTCTATTCCATTTGCAGAGCAAGCAAGGGCTTGCATGGGGACAGCTGAATTGGCATGTCCCATTACTGCTTAACTTCTCATGGGTTAGCACTCACTATCACTCTCAGTCCAGGCAAGCTGAATCTCTTCAAGAAATCTCCTTTAGCTGACTTCTATGTACATATAACATGGATACTTGATTCCAAAGCCTCTTGTCTGAGCTTGTTTCTTAGATGATGAAAAGCCTATGGGACAGATTTCAGTTCCCTCCTTCCTGATTGTTTTTTTCTCACTGAACACCTGGTTGTTAGTGGAGAGAAAAATAAAGAAAGAGAAAGCTTTTTCTGGTGCCTGTACTCCAAGAGAAGCGGTGAAAGAGCAAGAGGAAAGGAAAGTCATGGCAGCATATAGTAGCCATCATACAAATAAGAAGAAATGGGAAACAGTGAATTTGAGGAAAAAAATTACATTGGTCAGACAAATGAAAAGCAGGTGCAATGCTGAATCTTACCCACATGTGCTGTCAGGCTAGGATGAATTTAAGGCTAAAATCCTTGTATTTAGTAGTTTTCATCTCACATGAAGGCTAGAATGGGAGTTTGATCGCAATCTCTGACTAAAAGCAGGATTATAGAACTGCTGAGAGATTCCAAGAATTACAGCTTAGTCCTGAGCTTTTTTGGTTATTCTTTTCTTAGCCAAGATTGTAACATTTTCTTAGTCTTGTGCTATGTACTTCTACTTTACTGCACTGCTGTTTGTTGATAAGGCTCAATTATTCATTGCATGTACAGTCAAATGTTTAATACTAATGTTGATATTTTGTTTTCTTTCATTCCCTAGAACATGATTAAAAATGCTTCTAATCACTTGTTTGCAATGACAAAACATCGATTTTTCTTCAAGTCTGTAAAAATTATAATTCCTAAAACATGGAGGAGAAATACCAACTATTCAAGAATAAAAACAGAATCATATAATCAGGTATGATTTAGAGAACTTTTTATGATTAGAACAAGGAAAAGCTAGACTGACAAGGCTACATGACAAATCACAGCAAAATCTAGGACTAACTTTGGAAGTTCTTACTCAAAATTGTTGAGAGAGTTTGTAGGGTAAAAGGAATTGCAGGACTGAATTTATTCAACAAGGATAACCCAACTCTTCTCTACACCTATGTCATGTATAACTTTGGTCTTACTTTTTCAGGCAGATGTCATCATAGCAGACTATTACCTGAAACACGTAGATGAACCTTATACCTTACAGTATGAAGGATGTAAGGTGAAAGGACGGTACATTCATTTCCCACCAAACTTCCTGTTAAAGGAAAATTTGACTAAGGTTTATGGAGAAAAAGGTAATACTACTATTTAATTTAATTGCCTGTTTTACTGCTCATACAAAAAAGCTAAGATTTTCCTCAGTGAATAATGAATATGGATAATTCAATTTGCTTGTTAAAATGAAAAAACCTCTGAGAGACATATTTTTCAGAAGTAGTAAATACCTATGAAGTGTCTGAAGTTAAATATTCAAACACTGGATCCATAAGAATCATAGAATCAACTAGGCTGGAAAAGACCTTTAAGATCATCAACTCTCACCATTACCCAGAAGTTGCTCATCCCTTTGAAAACTTTAAATGGTTATTCTTTAATTAGCAAATATTCCACAATCTTCCTCTATTAAATTGTTCAAAAGTCTAAGTAAAACATTGAGCAGCTTTTAAACAGTTTTATTTAGAATGTTCATGTGCTGTTCTATTTCAACAGGTCGAGTTTTTGTCCACGAATGGGCTCACTATCGGTGGGGGGTGTTTGATGAATATAGTAGTGACATGCCTTTTTATGTGTCTGAAAAAGCAACTGTTAAAGCAACAAGGTAGTATTTTTTTCATATTTCTGCTTTTACATTACTTGGGTTTAAATATTTCAAGAACCTTTTCATTATGTTTGTCATCTGCGTTGAGTCTGAACTTTATAGAGTGTCCACAACCTGCTTGTGTGATTAAAAGATGCGTAGCCAGCAACATCTACTGCCTGCTCTGCAGCCCAGAAAACCACAGCTGCCTTTGGTGTTGTTTTGTAACACGTTCAGGAGATGAGCGCTGGACAATCTTTTGCTCTGTGAGCAACTGCAGACTTCAGCCACTATTTGTTTCGTTCTTATTTGGCCTGGTTTTATTAAAAAGCAGTTATCATCAGCACTGAAACTGCCTACTGAAACCACTGTGATTTCAAACAGTTTCTATAAAGAGGGACAATAACTGAATGGATGTAGAGAACTAGTTCAGGCTTGCCTTTTTTCCTAGCTCAGGCATACCAATACAGTCTTTTGTATTGCAATTCCTAGCAGGATGTCTTTCCTGCATAGCCTATGATTATTACAAGGAAGATCATGAAGGACCACAAGTGTTTTATGATTTTAACTATTTCTAGATTAGTTTAAGGACCTTGCCAGACAAAGAGATAGCCTACCTGTGGACTTGTGCAGTGTCTAGTGCAGTGCTGTGTCAACAGCAATTTGGCTTTGGGCAGCCAAAATTCAAATAAATAACCAGTTACAGACTATATGTATGGGTTCTTAACCAGCCCTGCTTATCTTCTCTTCCCTTAGCTGTCCAGCTGGTGTGACTGGTATTCCTGTTTTCCAAAACTGCAGCGGTGACATATGTAAGCCAAGAAGCTGTAGATATGATGGTCAGCTGTATGAAAAAGGATGTGTATTTATTCCAGATATACGACAAAATATCTCATGTTCTGTTATGTACATGCAATACGCACATCCTGTAAGTATTACTATACCTTTCTGGACTTAGAGTTTAGTAACATTCAGGGTCTAGCCAGTAATTTCTGCTGGGGAGAATGATCAGTCAGGTGCTTCTTTAATTAATTCCAAAGACTGTGGAAGTTGCTACCAGTTCTATTGAAATCTGCTCAAAATGGAAGACAAAGGAGCTACTAGAAATTGTTTGACAGCTGATTCCTGTCAATAAGGGAGAGATGTACAGCAGCCTCAGCATCCTTCTTGCTCCGTGTTCGGAAAATCAGGTCAACAGGCATAAAAGTGACGCATTCTTGCCAACTGCTATGTCCTTAAGATAATTGTAGTTTTTGATCACTCCTTATGAAAACTGGTACGTGAACTGTGTTACCTGGTTAGCTCTATTACACTCCATTGCAGAGCAATCTGGTCTGTCTATCCTTAACAGGGAAGCAGCAGCCCACTTGTCTTGAAAATAGCCAGGACAACCAGGCAGGCCTCCTCATGCCAGCTTCACTGTTTGGGATAGGGGTTACCAAGATGGACAGTCTCCTTGCAGGCTAGGTTTCTGTGGTATGGGATCATAATTCCTCCAGCTATCGACCTTATTTCTTTGGGCAAGCTCTTTCCAAGAACTTTATGGGTGTACTGGGCCTGGTTAGGATACAATAATTTTCTTCATAATGGATCAAATGGATCTGTGGTTTAGATTTTTGACCAAAAGAGTACCACTAACACACTAATGTTCTAGCTTTAGCTGAACAGCATCAAGGCCTTCTCTTTCTCACTGTGCCCCTACTAGTGAATAGACTGGGGGGTGCGCAGTAGGCTGTAAGGGGACACAACCAGGCAGATGACCCTAACTACCCTCAGAGATATTCTATACCATATAGAGTTATGCCCAGCAATAAATGGAAGAGAAGGGGTTTTAGGAGGCTTAGCCATCCTATGCTCCTGAGCTGGCTGGGCATTGGTCTACTCATGGGATGTGGTAAGAGATTGCCTTTGCATCGCTTATTTTGTTTCTTTTCTTTCACTTATCCTTCTTTTATTAAACAACTTCTTTCTTGTTTTCTTTTGTTTTATCTTGATACTAAAGTCTTCTTGCTTTTATTCCTCCTTTCCTCTTCCCCCATCCTACTGGGGAAGGGGAGGAAGTGTGGTACTTAACCTGCCCTCCATGGTTAACTCACAATGATAGGTCATGGTCTTCCCTTAGCAGTATGCCATGGCCATGCTGAGACATCTAAAAGATTAGTTCCTGCTTCTCTCAAAGTCTTGACTTTGTATCTTTTGCATATTTCCTTATTCAGCTCAAGAAAACTTACATGAACCAGTCCAAGACCACCGGTTTAACCCAAGAGGTTGGTTAAATATTCAGGTTGCTAACTTGAACCTCCATGCTATTCAGCCACAATATCTATGTTAGCAGGCTTAAATCTAGTAGGACCTCCACGAAGCAGTCACTCAAGGATCTCAGTACTCACAGACAAAATGCTTTCTTTCTGCATCTCACAACATGCTGGTGCTTACATAGAATCTGAGGTAAGTTCTTCGGGAGCACTTTCTTCTCTTGCCTCTTCTAAGATCCTGGCTGGCCAGGCACCACGGCACAGAGTACGTTCAGTGGAGAAGAACACCTCCATTTGTCCTGTACCTCACCACAAACTTCTTATTTTCTGAAATATTTTCTTATGCTTATACTGTTGGCTTCAGCATTATTATCGGCTTCAATCCGACTTTCCAGGTGGTTGAATTTTGTGATCAAAACACTCACAATAGTGAGGCTCCAAATATGCAGAATAAGATATGCAACCACAAAAGTACATGGGAAGTAATTATGGAATCTGTTGACTTTCGCAACTCGACTGTTCTAAATACTTCTGCACCCCCCCATGAGACTACCTTCAGCCTACTGCAAGCCCAAGACAGAGCAATTTCTTTAGTACTGGATATATCTGGGAGCATGAGAATGGTAAGAACATGCATTTTATAAGCAATTTTTAGCAAAAAATCCTACAAGCTATCACTTGAAAGTATTGAGAGTTGTAGGGCAGACATGGTCTTTCTTTTCTTGTCAAATATCAGTTTCATATCCTTTCCTTCCTTTGTTCCAGACCTGGAATGAAAATGCCCTTGCATTTCTTCCAAGCAGCAATATATCATAGATGGAGTTCCACACTGTATTTTTGTTATGAATGATTCTAAATTTTAAAGTAAATATGTAGGTCATAATACATCAATAAATTAGATGTTCTTTCCTCTTTACAATATTGCTCTTTGGAATCAAGAATGTAACTAAAGGTAATGTTATGTTATTTTAACAGAGCTGGGGTTATTTTTCCTTTTTTTGCCATAAAACTTTGCATAGGTTTATTCTTTCACAACTTCCTATGGCATGAGATACTGAGCTGGTTTATGGATGCAAGGTTTAGTAAACATCCCTGAATATATGCTTATTTCCGTAAATATCTTGATACTTTTATAAAGCTGTATATATCGGACCATTTGTAGAAAGATGGCAATATTATCTGGGTAAGGCAGCTGTGTTATGATTTATTAATAGACTTCAAACCTCTGTGATAAATGTCTTAAAATACAACTTTTCAGTAATCCCTTCAAATATTTGCATTTAAAATAGCCATAATTTTACTTTAATATTGTTTCTATTTTCAAAATACTTAAGTCTCTAGACTAATCTACTGCTCATGCATCGTAGGTTTTGTCCTTTTGCATTGCCATCATGCTATCAAAACCAATAAAGAGTGACCAAAATCTTGATTAGGAATGAAGTTGTAACATCAGAAGATGGACTTTGCCAGGTTACATCTTTCTTGGAAGCTGCAATTTGCTGCGCTTTCACAATACCAGAACATGTTTTGCATCTCCTCTCTTCTAGAACTGAGCATACACATGAGTTACCTTAAGGCAGATAGTTTTTAATTACAACCTGACATCAGTAAATCCTGCTTTCTGTTCATAGTCACAGCTTTTCAGAAGAGAGTGCATTCTAAGGATGGGTTTTTCTCACATACAGCACAACCGCATTGAAAACCTCCGTATTGCTGCAGAGCAGTACCTGCTCCATGTTGTTGAAACCAGCTCCTGGGTTGCAATTGTCACATTTGACTCTGATGCCATTGAAAGAGCTCCTTTGCAACAAATAACCAATGATGAGGCACGCCAAAAGCTTGTGCAGTTTTTGCCTACAATTCCTAGTGGACTGACCAATATCTGTGCAGGGATACATAAAGGACTTACGGTAAAGTACTATGTGGGAATATCCTTGGGATGTAGGGAAAAGAGGGAAGAAGTGAGAAACATACTTGAACATGGACTTTTGATGCAATGACAGAGTTAAGAGAGAGAATATGGTGAAGTTAAGAAAAATAAGGTGATTCTTGAATCTATCAGGAGAAAATTTGGTATAGAAACTGTTTGGCATTACCATTATATGGCATTGGACAGAGTATTACCAGAAGACAGTCCAGATGTGCGTTAAAGTCCATGCTTTGAAAGGATATTGAAAAAGAAGATGAAATTCCAAAATGAACTTCAAGAATGATCTAGATTTTTGAATAATTCCCACAGTTCAGTAGTCATGAATTAAACCCCTAAAACTGTGAAACCACATACATCTCATGAGCTTGAGAGATGGGGAAACAGGGAAGTTCAGGTTACGTATAAAGAAGCAGTTCTTCCCTGTGAGGGTGGTGAGGTACTGGAACAGGTTGCCCAAAGAAGTTGTGAATGCTCCATCCCTGGCAGTGTTCAAGGCCAGGCTGGACAGAGCCTTGGGCGATGTGGTTTAGTGTGAGGTGTCCCTGCCCATGGCAGAGGAGTTGGAACTGGATGATCATAAGGTCCTTTCCAACCCAAACCATTCTATGATTCTATGATTATTATTTATCTGTTTGTTTTACTTCCTTGGGCTGGCAGTCTGAAGTCCCAAATGTCACCTTATTCAGATGCAAAACTGAAAATAAGGAGCAGCATGTAGGAACAAG